ATGGCTATTCTTTCATTTATGCTTTCCAAATATGCAGATTTCTCTCATGGCCAATTGGGAAACATTTAGCAAAGGGAATTCTTGCAATTATAGTTCCAGCTAGTTGACAGTACAAAACTGTAATATCTTATGCTCTCTTTAGAACAATGGGAGAATCTAGGAACACCTAACTCTGTCCTATTCCAACTTAAATGATAGTTTTCTAATATTTTAGTTCTTCCTTTAAATATTACAAATTAAAAGCCATTATAATTATTTTCTATAATGTTTGCTTAAATTTACCTCATGTTTATCAGTTCCTTACCATTCCTTCTTGCATCTCAGACTTCTGTGATCATTTTCCTTCTCCCCAGAGTATATCCTTTAGAAGTTCCTTTATTGTATATAGACCTGATGGTAGTAAACATTTTCGTTTTTGTTTGCCTGTAAATGTCTTATCTTTCCTTGGTTTTTGAAAAGATGACACTTTGAAAATATCTTTTTCTCTGTCTGCTTTTAAGGTCATCTCTTAAGCTGGTGAACTGCAGTTTCACTGTGAGGTGCCTAACTGTGGAATTTCTTCTATTTTTTTCTCTATGTGTGGATTCACTTATTTTGTTAGTTCTGGAAAATTCTGAGCCTTTTTCTTTTTAGATAATGCCTGTTCTTTATGCTCTTTCCTTCTGAGACTCCCATTAGATGTGTGTGGGATCTTCTCATTCTGTCTTTCATATCGTTTAATGTTTCTTTCATATTTTCATCTCTTTGTCTCTCTGTGCTGCATTCTGGGAAAATTCTTTCAGTCTATTTTTCATTTCACTGGACTTTTCAGCTGTGTTGACTCTGCTCTTTAATCCATCTGCTGAGTTTTTGGTCTAGCAAATACATTTTTCATTTCTAAAAATTCTATTCAGTTCCTTTTTACATTTGTCTACTCATTTTTAAATAATCTCTTATTGCTTGCTTATTTTAATGATTTCATATTTTTAGTTATTTTTATTTTTTAAATAGAGACAAGGTCTCACTCTGTTGCCCAGGCTAGTCTTGAACTCTTGGCCTCAAGTGATCTTCCTGTCTCAGCCTTCCAGAGTGCTGGGATTACTACAGGCGTGAGCCACTATGCCTGTCCAGATTTCACATTTTTAAAAAAATCCTAATTATTCTGTATTATTATTATTTTTTGAGACGGAGTCTCGCTCTGTCACCCAGGCTGGAGTGCAGTGGCACGATCTCGGCTCACTGCAAGCTCTGCCTCCTGGGTTCATGCCATTCTCCTGCCTCAGCCTCCCGAGTAGCTGGGACTACAGGCGTCCGCCACTATGCCCAGCTAATTTTTTGTATTTTTAGTACAGACAGGGTTTCACCGTGCTAGCCAGGATGCTCTCAATCTCCTGACCTCATGATCCACCCGCCTTGGCCTCCCAAAGTGCTGGGATTACAGGCGTGAGCCACCGCACCTGGCCCAATTATTCTATTTTTTTTTTTTTTTTTTTGAGACGGAGTCTCACGCTGTTGCCCAGGCTGGAGTGCAGTGGCGCGATCTCGGCTCACTGCAAGCTCCGCCTCCCGGGTTCCCGCCATTCTCCTGCCTCAGCCTCCTGAGTAGCTGGGACTACAGGCGCCCGCCACCGCGCCCGGCTAATTTATTCTATATTATTTAACTGTTAATTCTAATATCTGAAATTCTTGGGAGTTTAAGTTTATTGTTTGTTGTGTCTGCAGATTCTGTAATATGGTGTTTGTTTTCTTTTATCTCTTATTGTGAGCTCATGTTTAATTGCCCTTTCTTCAAAGGATACCTGGAAACCTACACTGAGGATGTTTTCCGCCATTGAAGATAAATATTCATGGGGTGTGTGTGTGTATGTGTATGCTGGGGGGCAGAGACATGAAACTTTCTGGTTAAGTTTGGAATTTACAGATTTAATTCCTCTATCTTTCAGCTAGTTTAAGGCTTAAATGCCTGTTTGTAGTGCTAATAATGGCATTTGTCCTCAGGATAATCCTGTCTTTTTAACTATACTTACCACTCATCTCCATGACAGTCCAACACAAAATAATTTTTATTCAGAACTTAAGTTGTTTCAAAGCAGGAGGGCCCTTCAGAGTTTCTAGACCACAACACTGCCAAAAGCAGAAGCCTTTCCTTCATTCTTTTTTTTTTTTTTTTTTTTTTTTTAAAGAGACAGGGCCTTGCTCTGTCATCCAGGCTGGAGTAAAGTAGTGTGATCACGGCTCACTGCAGCCTCAACCTCCTGGGCTCAAGTGATTCTCCCATCTCAGCCTCCCCAGTAGCTGGGACTATGGGCACATGCCACTGCACCTGGCTAATCTTTGTATTTTTAGTAGAGACAGGATTTCACCATGTTGCCCAGGCTGGTCTTGAACTCATAGGCTCAAACAATCTGCCTGTCTGCCTCAACCCCCCAAAGTGCTTGGATTACAGGCGCAAGCCACCATGCCTGGCTTTTCCTTCATTCTTAATACCACTGCTATCTGACTTTCACTCCTCACCATTCACTGAAGCTGTCTGGCTAAGTTACCAAGAGTCATTACATCCAAGAGATCTCTTTCTCTGTCACTAACGCCTGACACTGATCTTTGGCTAATAATGCTGTACTTATTGGTTTATCTTTGATTTTCTTCCTAGTGTTCTGGCAATAATTCCCTGTCTTCTTTTATGGCTTTTCTTCCTTTACCTACCCTTAAATATTTATATTCTCCAAAGTTATGTCCTTGGCCATTTTCTCTCTCTTCTTCGGCAATTTCATCTCTTCCTATGACTTCACCTACCATTTATATGATGATGACTTCAAGATCTCTATCTATAACCCAGACCTTTCCTTTGCTTCAGATAACTGTATCTAACTACTTGCCGAACATCTTTTCCTGTATATCCTCAAATATTTTTGTCCTAAAATGAACTCCAAATCTCTAATCTGCTATTCCAAACCTCAGTTGATAGCATTAGCATTCCTCCAGTTGCCACAGCCAAGAACTCAAGGGTCACCCTAATCTCTCCCCTCACCATCCAGATGGTGACCAAAATCTGTTCATCTACTTTTTAAAATTTCCTCCTATTGAGTATAGAAAAGCAGTCAGGCACTCTCATATTTTGCTTGTGGAAATGTAAATTGTTACAGCCCTTACTTATTATGGCAATTTGAGGTGTATAGCAAAAGTTTTAAAAATGTGTATATCCTTTCTTCCAATAATTTCATGTCTAGTAATTTATCCTAAGGGAATAATTGGAAATGTGTACAAAGATACATGTATAAGAATGATTATACTAGCAAAATTTTATAAAGAACCTAAATTTTCAATAAGATTCCTTAAATACACCATTTTGTAATAAATTTTATTTATTTTTATAATAAACAATATTTGCTTCCTGAAAGGACATATAATAATATATTAACAATGGTTATTTTAGGTAGTAGGATTTTAGACCTTTTTTCTTTGTGCGTCTCTGAGTTATCAGCATTTTCTACATTGCGCATATATTTATTTTGTAGTTAGACAAAATACATTATTTAAAAAAATTGTCGGCCGGGCGCGGTGGCTCAAGCCTGTAATCCTAGCACTTTGGGAGGCCGAGACGGGTGGATCACGAGGTCAGGAGATCGAGACCATCCTGGCTAACACGGTGAAACCCCATCTCTACTAAAAAAATACAAAAAACTAGCCGGGCGAGGTGGCGGGCGCCTATAGTCCCAGCTACATGGGAGGCTGAGGCAGGAGAATGGCGTGAACCCGGGAGGCAGAGCTTGCAGTGAGCTGAGATCCGGCCACTGCACTCCAGCCTGGGCGACAGAGCCAGACTTGTCTCAAAAAAAAAAAAAAAAAAAATTGTCTCCTATTCAACAAATTCGTTTTTTCACTGTGACAATCCCCTTATCTCCTACCTACATCCTCCTTCCTCATCTTTTACCCCTCGCTGGCCTTCCTGCCCTCAACCCCAGCCCCTGCAATTCCCTGACACTGCGGCCAGAGTGGCCTAACTCACAATTGAACCATGACTCTTCCTGCCAGGTTCAAAAACCTGGAGCCTTATGTCCACGCTCCTAAACATCGCCAGAGAGGCCCTTCTTGGTCTGGAGACTCCTCCCTCACCCAAGGACTAAACTCTTCTGCTCTAGCAGTTTCCGTTTCTGGTAGGTCCCTGCCCACAGGCTGCCTTTTCTCATGACTCTCTTCTGCTGGAAGCCTCCTCCTCCTGGATCCCTCAGTAGATCTGCCCTTCAGGTTGGGCAGTGCTCTCCCCTTTCTGGCTCTCCACCTCTGCCGGTGCATGTTCCACATCAGGCAACTCTACTTTGTTCACTTGTTTGCTGTGGGCTCCTCAAAGGCAAGGTCTGGCCTTTCCCTTTTGTATCCTGAGTTGCCTACAGATGAAGATACTCAGCAAAGTTTTGTTGGATGGTACACACAGATAAATCCTCTTAGGCAGAGTCACAGTTAGACTCACAGATTTCCTCCCACCTGGCCACCAATCTTCAAGCACAGACGCAAGGAAACTGTGATACATATACATTAAAGGCATGTGTATAGGACAGTTTCTGGCCTATTCCATAGGCAGCCTCAGGGCCTTTGCACTTTCTGATCACTCGTCTGGAACTTTCAGCTCTTCTATTCTTTCAGTTCTTCATGTGGCTAGTTCTATTTCATCTTTCCAGTCTCAGTTTATTGTCACCTTGAGAGAGGGTTTTCCATGACCTAAGTAGCCCTCCCTTTCCATTTCCACTTCCACTACTCTGTTTATTTCCTTTACAGTATTTTTGAAGAATTTATAAAACTCATGTTTATTTCTTGTTTATTATCTGCCTGTTCCTACCTCCTACCCCAATGTAATTCCATGAAGGCAGGATTTTGTGGTATTTTACATACCATTGTAAATTCTGTGCCTAGGTAAATGAATAAAACACACACACACACAAAGCTACAAATAATTACACACATTGCCAGGCATCCAGACTGGCCATACGCTCTGGCCTGCCCCTCCCCGCCAATCTCCCACTTACCGGAGTCAGAAACTTGTTGGCTTCCCAGGCACATAGAGGTGGGTCCTTATAGACCTCCTTGATGGAGGTGGGAGCCCTGTAGGAGTCACTGTAGGTACTGATAGGGGTCTTGGTCTTACGGGAGAACAGGAACATGGTGTGGTCTTGGAGATGCTGTGATGGGCTCTACCTGTCAAGGGCTCCTGCTGGACATCAGTGACCACCCTTCCCCTAGATAACCCACACCTCCAGCCTGGCAGGTGCCCCTAGCTGCTGTAATCCCCTCCTGCAGAGGATCTCTCAGCTTCCTTCCCCAACAGCCTTCCTGCTCCCACCCCACACTGATGTCCCCTCCAGGATGGGCACTGCCCATTGTGATATCACCTGACTCAGCCCCATCCCCGGGAAGGTGAGGAGGTCTAATTCCCTCCCTGATCCTGACCCCCTCCTGCCTCAAGTCTATCAAAAGAGCCCAATATCTAAGAGTTCAGAGGGCCTCTGGAGATCTTCTAGGTCAGGCTTCTCACTGTTGAAGAGAAACAGAGGTTCGGAGGGGTTGTGACTCACCCAGGGTCATGTAGCAGGTCAGTGGCATGCCTGGGAACCCACGGGTGGAGGTGGAGTAACATGTGTGCCCAGAGGACTGGTTCTCTCTGCTTCCCAGCCCATCTGCCCCTTGCCCACACCCCAGGGAGGGACCTGAGGCTGGCTTGTTTGATGCTTTTAATATCATTATTTATGTTACACGATACACAACCAAGGATGATGGTCAATACTGCAATGAAAATGTTAAAAAAAATATTATACACGGCTCATGTCTTCCACACACCTTCCTGGAAATAAATTAGTGAGCACGGAGAAACCTGGCTGGGTGGCAGCCACGGCTGAGAGAGGAGGGAGTGTTAAGGCAGTATCTACAAGGGGAAGGGCGGCAGGAGGGCAAGCTAAGGCCTAGATTCTTCCCTCTAACCTCCCAGACAGGGAAGGAGGGAGCCATGCCCCTCCCTAGACACGGAAGCTGCCACTGCCAGCTTCCTGCCTCTCTGCCACACATATACTGCCTCAGTTGGAAGCCCTTGCCTGCCAGGGAACTAGTATGTCCTGTGGGAGGGAGATTTTCCCTGGTGTCTAAGGGCCACAGGGATTGAACAATGGGCCCGAGTCACACAGCAAGTCAGCAGCAAAGGCAGCAGTCTAAATGAGCCCCCAAAAAGAGGAGGTACCCATGTTCTAGAAAGGTGAATCAAGGAGCCCCGGGGTGGTGGTGGTGGTAGTGGGAGGCCTGGCTCTGGGTTCCAGATGATGGGGGCACAGGGGCTGGGGGGATGTTGATCTGGGTGGGAGAGGTGGGCTCAGATGGGGGCCAGTATGAGCCTTGTGGGTCCTGCAGGTACCTTCTCTGTCCTTGCCTCCCTTTGTTTGGCATTTTCTCATCATCTAACTTGGGTCCCTGGCACTAGAGGAGGTAGGGATGGGTTGGAGGAGTGGGGGGTGGTAAGCTGCACCCCAATATTTTGGAGTTGGCACTTCCTGGGTATGATGCAGGGAGAGGTGCCACCCTTCCTAAGCCAACAGCCTCACTCCCTCCTCTCATTGCTCCCCATTCCAGCTGCCATCTCCCAGGATTGGTGTCCAGAGAGTGGGCTGTGGGTGAATCTACTGCATGCCTGCAGCATGTGAGTGGATCCATGGGAGTGGATCCAGCAGCACATGTGGGGTGTTAGCATGAGATGATCCACCTGGGCCTGTGCTATAAGGTATGTGGGCACAGGCCTGTGCAGTTTTAGGCTATCTGTGCTTTCATTTTTCTTCACATGGTGTCAGGTCTACACTGCCCAGCTCCAGAGGAGGGCTTTCCTTACCTCTTCCCTCTTGATTTTCAGCCTCAGCTTTCCGGAACCCTCCCCTAAACCAGCAATAGCAGAAGCAGCTGTATACACATCTTGACCTACAGACACCCTATACAGCCACACACAATAGATACCCCCCAACACACATACACATTCACAGAAAACACGTAATCCCAAACAGAGCCACGTGTGCTCAGACATACACAGTCCTGATAGGAACTGCCCCTTCCCCTTTCTATAGAGACACACAACTCAGCCCCACCCCAACCTTTAGGTGTACTGAGACACACAGAGATCACCCCCTCCCTACCACAGAAATTCCTATGAAGAAACTCTTTCAGGTATAAAAGGATCTTAAACATAATTTCAGCTGCTGTTCATTTTCTAGTTGAGGAAACTGAAGACCAGAGAAAGCAAGTGGCTTGTTGAAGATCACAGGGAGGGGCCAGAGCTACAACCAAAACCCAGGCTTCTGACTCCTGGTCTAAGGCTGTCAGCCCATTGCACTGCTGAGCCGCCTTCTGCACTGTAAACAGACCACACAGGCACTTGCCCACCAGGGACACCCACATCTATGACAGGAATAGACTGAGGAGAGAGGTCCAACAGAGACACACACACACCCACCCCCTGACAGCCTCAGAGATATACACACATTCTGCTAAGCACTCCCTACCACATCCAAACAACCACATCCATAGAGCCACTCAGCCCACTGGATTCTCCAAAGCTTGCTCCTGGATTCTTACTGGGAAGCAGCCTCCCAGGTCTTGGGCTGGGATGAGGGGAATGGGCCATTGGAGGCCAGCCTTACTCCCTGCTTCCAGCCTGGGATTGAGACCAATGAGCAGAAGGATAGGTGAGGGTGGGAGTGGGGTGGGCTGGTGGCAGAGAGATAGATGCATTGGTGAGGGGCCAATGAGGACAGATCACACCACCCAAACCTCAGCCTGTCTCTAAGGCCCACCTTACCCTGCCCCACTCCCAGGGAGCAAGGAAGCAGGTGAATGGGGCAAGAGGAGGAAGAAGGCAGTGATCAGATGGGTGAGGGGCACTACCCGGTTGGGCAGCTTTGCCAGGCTTCCCATCTGAGGAGGGGGAAATGCAAATAGAAACATGGGCCGGTAGGGGGCATGTGAAAGGGGCTCCGAGGTGCTGAGACCCATCCCCACTGCCCTGGGCCTTTCTCCCTCTGAGCCCCTTTCCTGGTTAGGCTGAGGCCGGGGCTGGGGGGTTCATGGCTTCGCTGGGGTGGGGCCAAGCCCCTGGCTTTGTGATCCCCCCACTCATTAATGTTGACCTCCCTCCCGTCCAGTCTTCTCTCTTGGCCACCGGACTGCAGCCCTGGGAAGTGGGGCAGGGTGCTGGGTGAGGTTCCCCCAGGTAACTGAACAAACGGCCCCCACCCCTCCTCAGCTCCCGGGTGGAGAGAGACCCGGTTTTGGTTTCTCCGGCTCCATGAACACACAGAGGTACACGTCCTACCATAGGAGGAAGCAATGACTGTTATACAAGGTTGGCGGCTGTAGGGGCGTGGGGCCGGGGGCCAGGCAGACGAGCTGGGGAGGGGTTGGCCTCTGCCCGTCATACCCAGCCCTTGGCGGCCCCGCCCTGGCGGCCGCAGCAGCCCCACCCGCTACTGAATGTGGCAGGCGGTGGAGGACGTGGCCTGGCAGCACATGCAGGTGGGGTTCACGGACTTGGGGGGGATGAGGTCTAGGTCCTCGTCGTCGGGGATCTCATCTAACCGATAGCCATCCTTCAGCAGCTGGATGTTCAAATCTTGGTTGATCTGCTGTAGGCAAAGGGGAGGGAGGTCAGGCCCGAGCGGCAGGGAGGCACCACCCACGGCTCTGCAGCCACTCCAGGCCGTCTGTGCCCTGGTCCAGCCGGTGCCTTGGATATCGGCCCCGCTCTGTCCCGCATCTGTCCATACCCCCAGGCCCCGCTCCTGCCTAGGCGCCCTCCTCCACCTCTGGCCTCTCTTTCTAGTCATCCCTCCCCATTCTAAGGTCAACTTCACACCTCTGGTCCTGTCCCTATCTCAGGCTGGCTACTAGAGGATATCACCTGTATTTTACACCTGTTCTATTTAAATGGCCTGCTGCAATCTAAAGCCCCACTCCTAACCCTAGGCTCCCTGCACTTGAGGCCAGTAACCACTTCTTTTCCATCCTATCCCAGGCCCACCCTGTGCAGGGCACCGCCCAGCCCTGCCCAGCCCTCTTTTTCATTGTACTTGGGCGTTGGCCCCAGCCCTCCCCCTGATGGCGATGATCCTGCCCAGTGGTGTCTAGGGTGAGAAGGGGTAGGGGCTCACCTCAGCAGAGGAGTAGCCGGAGGAGGAGTATCTAGACATATCAAAGTCATCATCGCTGGCCATGGAGGAAAGAGAGGGAAAGTGATACCAAGAAATTAAATAGAAAACTCTCCACAATCCCACCTCCCATTAGTCAGCATCCCACACCTCCCTCATAGTTCCAAATAGCAAAATCTCAATACAAACTGTGCTTGCTGTGCAAATGCAGGAATTTAAAGACAAGTTCCCTAGCCCCACCCTTAAAATCAATTGCTATCCTTAACCTCCTTCTAAATATAGCAGTTACTCCTTTCACCCCCTTCCTTCTCATCTTTTGTTTTTCTAGACTCAAATCACCCTGACTTGTAGGGTGTTCCCAAAGCCCAAGTGTAGCCAGGTGTTTTCCAGGGAGTAGGGCTCCTCCCTGAGGGGATGGGGCATTAAGCATCATATTCTGCTGTCCAGAGACATCACAGGCCAGTTAGGGACAACCGTTGGATCAGTTGTCCCAGGATGACAGCAGACAGCGCAGGCCCCCCTTTCCTCTCTCTGCCACCTCTCTTCAACCCCTAGTCCCTGGTGTAAAAAAATTCCCATCCCTGGAGAATTCACCCTTGGAGAGATTCTGGCTGAAGAATACCCCAATTCTGACATTAGAGCAGGTATGGCTTGTATAGCCCACTTGTGCTACACAGGTTCCTTTGGGCTGCCCAGCTGCCCCCAAACCCCTATACACACCTGTCCGTGTCAAGGGCTACCAGTGGCTTCTCATCGGGGCTCTGGTCAAGCGAGGAGTAGCCTTTATTGGGGACAACCAGCCTGGGTGAAGAATTTTGGGAGTTAGAGTGGCAAGTGGAGCATAGAAACCTGGCAAGGGACTGGGTTAGGTCCCGCCCCACCACTTCCTTCCTTCCCTCCCTCCCCACTTTGGATCCTGTTAAGGCTGTCTCCTCTCAGAGAGGAGCTGGGCCTGAGGAGCAGGGGAAAAGAGGGAGGCTCAGGACCAGCAGAAATAGATCCTGGCTGGCAGGGTCCAGGTTGGATAGGGAGGGCCTCTACCTTGTTCGGGCCATGACATTGTTCTTCTTGGGTTGCTGGTTGACAGGGCTACCCATGCTGCCATTCTTCAGGGAGCCCTTCCGGGCCAGTTCCCGCTGCTTCTCTGCAGGAGAACATGGGAAGGAAGCTGTGTCCTGCCCCTGAGGCCACCCTGCCTTACTACTCAGGGCAGCCTGGGCTGGGCCTCCACTGTGAAACCACTTGCTCTTAGAAGGACTGAGGCAGGGATCCCAACTCCAGGCCCCTGCTGCTTTGTGGAGCTAGTACCTGGCCCTGCACAACCTGAGGCAGACAGTAGGGGGCAAAAAGAGGAGGCTGTCCCCTGTTTTCCAGGAACTACAACTCCCATGTTAGGGTAGTTAGTGTGTACTTGCTGCCAGGGAAAGGCTGGAGGGGGAGAGACAATCACAGAAGGCTGGCACAGTCAGAGAGGGCTTCCTTTAGGTGACACCATGACTTGGAGAGAGGTGGGCATTCTAGGAAGGAGGGACAGTGCATGCAAAAATGCATTTAAAAGTGAGCATAAGTGTGGCTCTGGATAGAGGGGTGAAGAGAGAGGTCAGGTTAGAGAAGTAAAATTCATTTACTCAGGCACTTATTCATTCAACAAATATCCACATCACTAATTATATGTCAGGTCCTGTGCTAAGGGGCTGAAGACTCTCTCTGGTTACAAACTCAGAACATGAAGGACTTGAATGCCAGACAGAGGAGTTTGGGATTAACACAGAAGGAAAAAGAAGCCACTGAAGATTGTGATGTGGGAGGGGCAGGATGGGGCTGCAAGGTAAGGGGCAGGAGGCTGGGGGAGCCCATTTGGCTACGCTGCCTGAGTGGTGCTCCTGACTCCTTTGCCAAGGTCTGAGTTCTCCAAGGTTCCAAAACCTACCAGGTTCATGGAGCTGGCCATCAGGTGACCCACTCCACTGCCTGGTATGAGACAACTGTTCCCAGAAGTAGCTGCCTGGGTCTTGGAGGAATCCCATCTCCCTTCCCTACTCATCTCAATTAAAGCCCAGATCTAGGAAAAGGAACTGTTAGGTAGAGAGGGACACTAGGGAAAATGACTCATAAAATAACCAAATGCTCCAGAGGGTAAGGATGGGGAGGACCTTTACAGCTACCGTGACTCACTTTGAAACTTCCCCTGACCTCATGTCTCTGAATCTCTGTCTCCTACTCTTTGACCCTCTTTCTTTGCCACTGCTCATCTGATTCCAGTTTTTTCCCAGCTTCTTTCCAGCAGGTGGCAGCTGCCATTACCACTCTAGGCCTCTAGGGGGTGCAATTTGCCTTAAAGTTTCTGGCGGAACTTGGTGCAACTGGGACAATGCTGTGAATTTTCATGAGGAGCTTTGATGGTAATGTAATGGGGAGGAAAAAAGATGTGATTTTAAAACATGATGAAATTGTCTGAAATAGTGGTAAAAAAGCAAACAATAAACTAGCAAAACCAAACTACAGACTACTATACAACCATTTAAAAGAATGAAGTCATTATATGCTGACATTAGAAGGAGCTCCAAGATTTAGGTGGTGGGAGAGGGAAGGCCAAGTTTCAGAAAATGTGCACAATATGACACCACTTATATTAAAATACAAAGTAAAACTACAAAAACTAAAAAGGCTTGGAATGGTTACCTCTTAGGAGGAGAATGTGATGGGGGAGAGTAAAGAAGTTATGCTTGTTAAAATACTTGTATTGTTACATTAAACAATAATAGGCTGGGCATAGCGGCTCATGCCTGTAATCTCAGCACTTTGAGAGGCCGAGGTGGGCGGATCACTTGAAGCCAGGAGTTCCAGACCAGCCTGGCCAATATGGTGAAAGCGTATCTTTACTAAACATATAAAAATTAGCTGGGCGTGGTGGTGTGCGCCTATAATCCAAGCTACTTGGGAGGCTGAGGTAGGAGAATCACTTGAATCGGGGAAGCAGAGGTTGCAGTGAGCCAGGATCACGCCACTGCAGTCCAGCCTGGACAACAGAGAGAGACTCTGTCTCAAAAAAAAAAAGAGAAAAAAGAAAAATAAAAAAAGACCAACCCCATCCCCCCAGTGAATAAAATTGGCTGCAGTTTTAATCTGATGTCCTAGGAATAGAAACAAATTCCAAGGAGAGAACTATTCTCGTTTAGAAAACACAGCTCGAGGGGCTCCCTGGATGTGGTCTGGAAGGAGAGAAGCAAGCAAGGTAAGAAAAAAAAAATAGCAGTTGAATAATAAAAGTACAGGCCTCTGTGGAAAGGAGGGAGAAAGTTGTAGGGAAAGGACCCTTAGAACTAAGGAGGCATCAGTAATTGTTGGGCAGCTGGAGCCCGAGGAGGAGGATGGACAGGACGGTGGCCTGGATGGCAGAGGAGCTTGGAAGGATAATAATGACCTATATTTAATTGTAAACTCTTTCCTGTATGTCCTGTTTTGTAATTTCTCTTCAAGAAACCAAAGTTTTCATAAAAGTGTGTTATATACAGCAGCCGTGAGACAGTGAAACTTTGGTCCCTGAAGGGAGAGGGGCAGCACATGGGGTGAAGGGAGGGCAATGGTGGCAGGAGCTGTGGACAGTGGCCAGGAGCGAGGGGACTTCACAGGATCAGGCTGCACAGTAAACTGACTTTGGAGTGGACATGAGACAAAGCCACAAGGGAAATGTGACCCGGAAAGAAAGGGAGATATTTGGGTTTTCTAAGAAACTAAGGGAAAAATCCCCCAAATAGGTGCCAACTGGGCCCAGAGATCTCTAGATGGGCTGAGGTTGTAATTGGGAGAAGCGCTCGGCTTCTAGGGTTGGAACTCTCATTCCTTTCTATCCCTTAGACATAACAAGTAACACCCCACTTCTAAGGCAGCTTCCTCTCAGCCTGATCCAGTGTTTGATGGGACTTCCAAGTCCTCTCTCTAGGGTTCCATGAAAACCCTGCAGCTATCCCCCAGAATACCTGGAATGTCCTTGGCTTCAGAGATGCCTCTTAGAGTTTCAGGCTCCTGCAGAGAACTGTAATTGCCCTCTTTGCCTGCAGGAGACAAGGTGCCTGGCAGTGCCAATGACTTGAAGGCTTGAGTCTTGGAATCATCTAGGCTGAGCTGGTTTATTTGTGGCACCTCATTGTAGACCCAGCCCAGAGCATCTTGCCTACTCCCCACATCTCCCTCACCCACCAGACACACTCACCCAGCTTCACTTGGAGCGGGGATGGTTTGTAATTCATGGCTACTGACTCACCCTCCCGGGCGTCACAGTCTCCGTCTGAGATGGAGGCGGCGGTTGGGTCCTGTGGGAAGAAAGCAGTAAGACAGAGTTGTTAGGGAGTGAAGACAGGGGGCTGCTCTCAGCCCTGAAACTAGCCTTCCTACCTGCCCTCTGGGCTTCTGTGAGCATTCACCACTCACAGCAGGCAGGGCATTCAGGGAGAGAGGGGCAGACCCATCTACTGTGGGACAAAAACACTGGGCTAGGTAGTAGAACCAAGGATCTGGGTTCCATGTACACCCAACTTGGTGTCTGTCCTCAAAGTCCTGTGTGGTCTAGCCTCCTCCAGAAAGCCCATCACGATTTCTTTAAACTCACAGGACTTCCTTCTCCTAATTCCCATACTAGTAGCCCTTCCCTTCAGGCCTTTCCTGTGTACTTGCTTGGCAAGGTCTTCCTAGGTTCTTGTGAGTTTAAGTCTGGGTTAAGGGGAGAGTAGGTGCTGTCTGAGATGGGTCATCTCCCTCTGTTTCCCAGTGCTGGACAGGTCCCTTCACAGGATCCAGAGAACTGACTGGCCAAGCCACACCAGCCTTCAAGGCTACCGCCACTGGACAAAAAATAGTTCTAATGAGGACTTCTCCAGTTCACAAATGACGCCTAAAGAGTGTCTCCTGGGAGAACCTGAAAAGTTGGCTAGATATGGTAGATGAGAAGACAAATAATGACAAACCAGCAGGTGGCCAGTTAGTCTTTTGCTGCCCAGAGGGCAAAACACTTGATTCTACAGATGGCCAGGAAGATAGGAAAGCACAAATTCTGTGTATTGTCCTGTGTCTGGAACCTTTGACATCCTCTTCACTGCCCTCTTCACTAATCTCTAATTGGGCTGGGAACTGTGCTGTCCAGAGTCTTTTTTTTTTTTTTGAGACGGAGTCTTGCTGTGTCGCCCAGGCTGGAGTGCAGTGGTGCAATCTTGGCTCACTATAACCTCCGCCTCCCAGCTTCAAGCGATTCTCCTGCCTCAGCCTCCTGAGCAGTTGGGACTACAGGTGCATGCCACCATGCCCAGCTAATTTTTGTATTTTTAGTAAAGATGGGGTTTCACCATATTGGCCAGGCTGGTCTCGAACTCCTGACCTCATGATCTGCCTGCCTCAGCCTCCCAAAGTGCTAGGATTACAGGCATGAGCCACCATGCCCAGCTAAGAGTCCTTATCTAGCCTTGCCATCCCCTCCCAAACACCCTCCTCTGCTGCAAGATCCAGGGCCCTGGCCCAGCCTGCCTCAGTCAGTTGGAAGTGGCTGAAGTCATCCACATTCTCCCTGAGACTCTGAGGACCAACCACTGACAGGGGTGCTGCCATCCTAGTTGTCTTTGCATTTTAACCAGGGCCTGTAGAGTGCTAAGCCTAAGGTGTGAGGAGTGCAGAGGGGATCCAAGGCTGCTGCCTGTTCTGCCTCTGCGGATGCAGGGAGTAGACAGATGGGCATGTAGAATGCTGCCACGGTGTCAGGCCCAGTGATCTGAGTGTCTGCTGGTGACCCAGCAAGGGAAAGATATATAACCATTATGGTGGCTTCTGTTCCCTTTAAAATGAGGCAGTGGGAATGAAAACATGCTTGTCACTAAGGGGAAAGGGAAAAGTCTAGCAGGTTTGAGAGGGAAATCCTGGCCTTGTCTGTGTTCCTTCAGGCCATCCAGAGCACAAGACTCTGGGTGGGCAGGGTTTGCAAGTTCCTGAGGGCAAAACCTGTGCCTCCCTCCCCTGCTTTGATCTCTAGCCCTTAGCCTTGACTGAGTAGAAGAAGGGCAGAAGTCTTTGCTCAGAAAGACTGGGTGCCGCAGTGCCTGCATCTTGGGCAACTTCCCATGCTGCAAGTCCTTCATCTTCCCTGGCTCAGCAACCTCCTTGAGAGACTCATAGACAACACCTGTCCTGCACAGCCTTGGAGAAGCAAACCTCTACTGGCCCTGATGTGCCTCTCTGCAGCCAAAACAGCCTCTCAGCTGCTACCTGCAGGGGAGGTGGAGATGGAACAGCTGGGCTCTGGATTTCCTGTGGGCCACAGAAAGTGCTCACTGCAAAGCAGCCAGAGGGAAGGCTTTTTAAAGGGCAAATCCCATAAACATGCTGATAGGACCCTACCAGGGCAGCACTGGCACATTTCCAAGTCCCAAGTCACATTCCTTCACTTTTTTGGTAGCATTCGTCACATGTCACATATACCACATCCATTTGGAAAAGGCTTCCTCCCTTGGCTCATCTCTTGCCTCTCTATCATTTCTCTGTCCTCCCACAACCCTTTGCCTCCTCTGTAGGGTCCTGCCCTTGGCCCTCCTCTCGCTCCTTGGGGAGCCCTGATGTCTCCTATAGTTCTGATTGGCATTTTTATACTGAAGACTTCTAAATCTGTGGCATTTCAATCCTGCTTCTCCTCCTTAACCTTCCACCCCATCTATCACATGAGAGTGTTGGGCCTCACCATCCTTTCCCTGGGGCTGATTTTTAAAAACACAAGCCCTTAGACGTTTGGGGCTAACTTTTTACTCGTCAGTGCAGATGAGTTAATCAAAGTTTCTTCTCTCAGTCTGGAGCTACTGGGTGTAAATGGTAACATGGGAGGTAGATTGCACAGGAAGGACAGGGCTAGGAAGCTGTTGAGCAACTCTGGTCACAGGGACCCACATGTGGTCCTTGAGGCCTACAGGGCAGTTCCCGGTGGTATTTGATCCTAAGTGAAACTGCCAGCTCCTCTGGACCACAACTCAGGAGGGGCCTGACCAGGTGGCAGAGCCCTAGGCTGAGAGGTCCCATGCAAAGCCCACCATTCAGCATCTACTCCTTGGATCACTATCCGTGACAGAAGGCCACCTTCGTGGCAAGCACAAAGATCGCTGGCACTGTGCCTGCAAACATAAGCCTTTACTGTGAGCTTCCTCTATGTCTTCCCTTAGAAATGCAGCCAATGTACCACAACCGCCTCATGGCAATGTAATCAGGGGGATTAAATGTAAAATATTCATGAATATAAGTATCAGAAAAGACTCCAGGCAGAAGGAAGTGCCTGGCTCCAAGAAATCAGGGAGAATTTAAAGTGCCCCCCAAGGACATCTGAAGGCGTGAGCTAGATCCGGGAACTAGAGATTAACAAGATTATTAATAAACACTCAGCAGAGACAGACATTGAAATGCATCTCTAACAGCAAACCCTGTTTCTGCAATGCTTCAAATAAATTCTCCAAAGACTACAGAAATGATTAATAGCCCAGCCTCACTGTTTCTGGGACAGGATATATAGGCTAATGGCTAGTGCAAAGCCAATATAGCTAGAGGAAGGCAAAAGCATCAGAAGAATCCTTAGAATTATAATAGTTTGGTCCACTGATTTTCATTAAACTGTGTTCCCTGAGTGATTGTGAGGGGGAAGCTATAGAATGGGGGTCTGGCTTCCCTTTAATAAGAGTAGATTCACCTTTATTTCATTTATATATCAGCCTGTTGCAACATTTTGGTTGGAGAAAAGGTTCTATTTTTTTTAAAGGTTAAAATCTTTTGATTTTAAATCTTTAAAAATGTTTTATTATGGAAATTATAACAAGTAGAGAAAATAATATAGTGAAATCATGGATACCTATCAACAGCTTCAACAAATACCAACTTATCACCCATTCTTTTTAAAAATGAGGAAACCTGGGCCGAGAGTAGAAGTGTCTTACCCAAGGTCAGTGATGGAGTCAATAACCTTTCAAAGCATGCAGGGAGGGACATAGGGAAGAGAACATGACTTGGGCTTGGAGCTAAAGACAGGCCCTCTGGGAGGCTGCTCCATTTTTGCAGGCCCAAGCATCAGTCTGCATATTAACCTCTTCCTTTGTCCCCCTGCCCCAGGGCTGTACCAACTCGTGAACTATCTTTAGCTGGCTGGCTTTAGCTGTTGGAGCTGTGGGTAGTGCAGCCAATACAATGGTAGGCTGGGACCCAAGAGATCCCAAATAAGCAGGATAAAATTGGGTGGGTAAAAAGGGAAACAAAGGAAAAAAACCAAAGTGTAGAACCTTCAAGGCTAATACCTGGAGTCTTAAGAAGGAGGATCTGGAGAAGCAGATGGAAGAGTCTGCTTTCCCGAATGACCCGCAGACCTTTACGGGCTACTCTGGTAGGACTCTGGGTGGCAAAAAAGAAGACTTGTAGAGGATCTTGTAGTTCCTAATGTATGTATTCAGATCCATGAGCTTATCTGATTCTCCTCAGTACCCAGTAGACACGTGATTGCCTCCCCAACATTCAAATTATACTCCTCCACTGGGCAACAGACATATGGCTTGGATGGTCTGACCTCACTCTCAGTGCTAAGGGGATGCTCTGACTAAAGGAAGACAACCTACACAATCCCATTCTCCTTGCCACACAAACTGAAAGGAAGATTGTAATGGTTAAAAGCACAGACTCTGTAGCCAGAGTGCCTAGGTTCAAATTCCAGCTCCTCTAGTTAGTAGCTGTAAGATCTGGGTTTCAGCTTCCTCATCTGTAAATGGGACCAACACTAATACCTAGGTCAAGGGTTCTTGTGAGGATAAAAGGAGTTAATATGTATTAAGCAGTTAGAATAGTCCTTAGCATAGTATACCTTGAGTACTATATCCATGTTAACTATAAAGATATCGCTATTATAGGTTCAGTGAGGAATACACTATCATGGTCAGTGTGCCCTGGGAGCGGCTGGCCTGCAGCTGCAGCCCTGACACCACATAGGTTGGAACCTGGCTTATATATGGAGGTATCTGTAGAAAAGGTGTGCCCTCCTTAGGGTGATGAAAGGCCTGGCCACAGGGCACCCTGTTTCCTCTCTTCCCTCCAGCATGATACAATTCTTTCATTTATTTAATGATGGTAGGGCTCACAAATACAAATAGAAAAGAGTCACAGCTGGGCATGCTGGCATGCACCTGTAGTCCTGGCTACATGAGGCTGAGGCAGGAGGATCATTTAAACCCAGGAGTTCAAGTCCAGTCTGGGCAACATATTGACATATTGAGACCCTGTCTTTAAAAATAAAAATAAAAAATAAAGAAAACAGTTCATCTTTAAGAAGCTCCCAATAATTATTAATAAACATAACCAAGAGCCATATAAAAGTAGAGGGAATGGGACAAAGGGAGGGTGGTCAAAGGAGACACTTGAAAAGATCTTAAAACATTAGGTCACCAGTTAGTTTAAGAGCGAGGAGTAAGGACATTCAGGGAACATGTGAAAAGTCTCAGAAGCACAAAACTAGCATAGTACATTCGAGGAATGGTCGGCATTTTGCTATAGTTGAAGCTTAGAAGGTATGGTGAAAAGTTGCAGGAAATCAAGTTGGTGGTGTCAGGAGGGAACTCAGATCATGCTGGAATGTGGGCTTTGATTTTTTTCTTTACTCAGAAGACGATGGGGAGCCAATGAAGCCTTAAGAAGGGAGTAACATGTTCAGATTCGAGATGGAAAAGGACCCTCCGACAGCCATGTGCAAGACGAGTGGGAAGGGAGTGAGACTGGAGGTAAGGATAATTAGGAAACTCCCGCAACAATGCTAGCAAGAGATAACAGGGGCCTGAACCAAGCAGCAGCAGAAGATAAAAGGACAGAAAGGAAGATGTCAAAAAAGAGTAGAATTGGCAGGCTTCTGATATAAAATGTAAAACAAAGGGTCTGGACATTCCTAGTTTTCTGTCTGGAGTTAATTGGGAAGAGTACTAATTTTTTTTTTTTTTTTTTTGAGACAGAGTCTCACTCAGTCGCCCAGGCTGGAGTGCAGTGGCATGATCTCTGCTCACTGCAAGCTCCACCTCCTGGGTTCATGCCATTCTCCTGCCTCAGCCTCCCGAGTAGCTGGGACTACAGGCGCCCGCCACCTCGCCCGGCTAGTTTTTTTTTTTCGTATTTTCAGTAGAGATGGGGTTTCACCATGTTAGCCAGGATGGTCTCGATTTCCTGACCTCGTGATCCGCCCGCCTCGGCCTCCCAAAGTGCTGCGATTACAGGCGTGAGCCACTGCGCCTGGCCTAGAGTACTAATTATTAAGACAAGTTATTAAATGCAGAAGAAGGCACAACTGCATTGCTAGGGAAAAATCAGATGAGTTCATTTGGGAACATGTTGAATTTTGAGGTGTCTTTTGGATGATGATATCACTAGTTGGTAGGATTTGAAGTGTGGGAGCTCAGAAAATAGGTGTGGGTTGGTGGTGATGTAAGTTACAGTAAAGAATAAGCTCTCTCAGAATGAGCAGAGTGAAAAAAAACCAAGGGTGAAGTTCTGGGAAATATCCAACCTTAGGTAATGAATGGAGGAAGGAGACTGGGTAGGAGCAGAGAGGAATGTAAGAGTAGAACTAGGAACCATTCAAGTAGAGTTTCAAGGTGCAAGAAATCAACAGTGTCAAATAAGCAGATGGGTCCATAAGATAAAGACAAAATGTAGAAACAAAAAAGTCATAGGTAATCTCAGTGAACACAATTTTAGCTGAAGAGTAGAAACAGAGCCCAGATGACAGGGGATTTAGGAGAGAACAGGAGATGAAGAAGCAGACAGAGCGAGCACAGGCTGTTCTTTAAAGGAGCAAGACTGAGAAGGGAAGGAATGAGAATGGGTGGCAGCCAGAGGGAGCTTTCAATTTCTAGGATTTCTTTATAGCTAGGGAAAACTAGACCTGTCCTAGACTGAGGGGAAGGAAGCTGTGTAGAAAAGGAGATGTTTGAGGGGGCATGGTCTTTGAGGAATCATGAGCAGATGGAGCCAGAACTTTGGACCATAGGAGGGAGCCTCCTTAACAAAACAGAAGGGAGGTAAGGAAGGTGAGGTGAGGAGGAGAGGAAAAAAGGAAGGGAGGTGGCAGATTCAGATAACATGGAGGCAGAAAGGGGGTAGAAAGTTAGGGGAGCTCCTTCCTAAAAAAACTCATTAGCAAAAGGAAAAAGGTGAACACTAAGGGGTTGGGGGAAAAGGACTATTTGGTGGCTGGCCAGAGTGGAAGGAGATCAGACTGCCTGGGCTCTCAGCTACAATCCTCATCTTTCACCCACCCACGATCCAGTCCTGAGGATGAAAGGCGCTCTCCGTGGTGCTGAACAATCTTGCCATTGTCTTGTGGACTGAACATAATCCAGGGTAGAGACATGATTCAATATCAGCCTTCCCAAGAAGAGAAAGTGACCTCTGTTCTCACCTCCAAGTACTAATTCTCAGGAATATGAAAATGGAAATGGACTTAGAGTGAGGTATGAAGAAGCAAAGCGCTCATACCAATACTATCTAACCATTCTTCACAGAACACAGAATAATTTTCCTTTAGTTTTAAGGTTAATTGGGGGAGGCAGTTCTGAGTTGGAGAATTCTGGAAGGCTACTTCTGGAATAAAGTCATGTCTGTACCTGTTTATTTTCCCTGGATAATAGCAGGAGGCAGGATAGACAGAAAAGCAGAAAACAGAAATCAGGGCCAGGAAGGATGGTGCTGTTAAGAAATGGGAAGTCAGGGAAGGTCTGTGGCTCAGCCCACTCTCTGACAAGTAGGCACAGTAAAATAGAGCATCAAAGACCAGCTGTGTTATCACAAATTTATCCAGAGGTCAGCTGAGAAACTACTTAGAGCTGTGGTCTTCCTGTTCAGGGCTATTCCATTCCAAAACATCTCATGGCAGTGTGTAGAAATAAACATGTTTAGATATCAAATTTTAGAGGGAGATCCAGCTAATATAACTTAACTTCACTAAATGCTCATCATTGGGTAGAAATCTTGCCTCTGGTCCAAGAATAGTTAGTAGCAATCTATGCATTAGTTAGATGGCTCTACTTCCCTGCAGAGGGCTGTCCATTCAGCCTAAGGCATTCCCATCTTCTCTGACTCAACACCTCAACATATAAGTCATCTGGCCAGTGACAGCTCTTACTCTGCAGTATGACCTGAAGTCATACCTCAACACATTGGCCATTTCTGAATCCCACTGTTGGGCAGCTCCTGTTTTTGTTCCCCATCTCCCTTTCTCCAAGTTTTCTCCAGGCACTGCCTGCAAAGCCAGGCAATTGGCCAGGACTTAGATCTTTTTGGGACATATTAAGATCCTTAGGGGATAGGTGCAGCAAGCCACCATGGCACATGTATACCTATGTAACAAACCTGCACATTCTGCACATGTGTCCCAGAACTTAAAGTAAAATTAAATTAAATTAAATTAAAAGGTCCTTAGGGATCCCACTTACAGGGAAAGACAAAGACTTTTGATAGGGATAAGGTCTTTGTGGGAGATCTAGAGGAGAATCAGGGGAACATAATGGAGAGGATCTCTCCAAGTGTTAGTGGGTCTTACAAATAGAGGGAGAACAGAAAATCTGGAGAGAAAGTTTGTGAAGCCTATATTTAGGAGAGAGGGCAGAGAATCCTGGCTGGCTCAGGGAGGCTTCTCTTATCAGTTTAAATCTCCCAAATCTTCTAAGTTTTTCTCTAACGGAAGTCCCAATTCAAACAAAGTCAACACACTGAGTGTCCACTCTCCAGCTCTGGACTATAAGCTGGCAGTAGAATGCAGAAGAGGAAAGCATCTTTCCTCTTTCTTTTCTTTTCTTTGTTTCCTTCTTTCTTTTTCTTTTAGTTTTTTAGAGACAGGGTCTCACTCTGTCATCCAGGCTGGAGTGCAGTAGTGCTGTCATAGCTCACTGTAACCTTGACCTCCTGGGCTCAAGTGACCTCCTACCTCTGCCCCCTGAGTAACTACAACTGTAGGCACACACAACCACTATGCCTGACTAATTTTTTTTTTCTTTAGAGAGAGGATCTCACTATGATGCCCAAGTTGGGAAAGCACTTTCTTTCTACACACACTTCTGCAGAGCATTTGCATTTTGGGGTATAGTCAAGTTCACCAGAAAGAAATAGAAAGGATTATCATGCTCGGGCTAGAGTTTGGGTCTCCAGGCCGGGCGCGGTGGCTCAAGCCTGTAATCCCAGCACTTTGGGAGGCCGAGACGGGCGGATCACGAGGTCAGGAGATCGAGACCATCCTGGCTAACACGGTGAAACCCCGTCTCTACTACAAAATACAAAAAAACTAGCCGGGCGAGGTGGCGGGCGCCTGTAGTCCCAGCTACTCGGGAGGCTGAGGCAGGAGAATGGCATAAACCTGGGAGACAGAGCTTGCAGTGAGCTGAGATCCGGCCACTGTACTCCAGCCTGGGTGACAGAGTGAGACTCCGTCTCAAAAAAAAAAATAAAATAAAATAAAAAATAAAAATAGAGTTTGGGTCTCCAACTGGTCTTGGGAGTCGCTGAGGATTTTCTGACTCCTTAAACAGCTGCTAGTATAGAATTCATTACCAAAAGTAAGCACCGCCAAGCCTTAGTATCTTGAATGGTATCTGTCACTGGGACAACCAAAACGGAGGAGGGTGCTACTGCCCCCAGGCCTAGTAACAACTGTAGCTATGAAAAGTTTTATAGATTTCTCTACTATAAAGTGATACATGCTAAAATTTTTAAAAATCACCTTTAGTTTCACTACCTTGAGAAAAACACTTGTTAATGTTCTACTGTATCAGAGCCTTTTGCGTATGCTACAGCAGCAACACTCTGGAGCTTCCCTTCCTTCTTTGGGAGTTGGTGCTGTTCTCATCTTCATGGTCATAGGAATGAGCCTCCAGGAACTATGCTGGTTCTATGTGATTCCACCCCTTTGGATATATGCCTGGATGAGGCAGAGCAAATCAGTCCCCCCCAGAATCGGGAAGTGGGACTTAAATGGAGATGTAAAGTTCAAGACTATGGACTGGGTAACAGAGAGAGCCATTGGGGAGGAAAACAAGAATACAGCTGATGTTCAGAAAGAAGTAAACACAAGAGATGGTGAGAGTGCTCCCTAGGTTTCAGGCTCTGGTTCTAGAGCCTGCCTTACCCATCCAAAGCCTGACTTCATGCTGTGCTTAGGCATTAAAAGAAACCCAGCCTAGGCAAGATAGTGAGACGGTGACTCTCCAAAAAGACAAAAAATTAGCCAGGTGTGGTGGCGCACACCTGTAGCCCCAGCTACTCAGAAGGCTGAGGTGGGAGGATCGCCTGAGCCCAGGAGGTTGAGGCTGGAGTGAGCCATGGTTGTGCCACTGCATTCCAGCCTGAGTGACAGAGTGAAATCCTGAGAAAGAAAAGAAAAAAGAAAAGAAAAGAGAAAAGAAAAAAAAAGAAAAGAGAGAGAAAAGAAAGAAACCCTAGTGTCTTCATAGTCTATTCTCTTTCTTAGCTTCAACTTGGATTTTTTATTTTGTTACTGTAATCAGAGAGTAGCAACTAATACATGTGTATAGAACAACGTTTAAAGAGCGTTTAAAGAACACGGCCTATTTTGTGGCCGGGCGCTGTGGTTCACACCTGTAATCCCAGCACTTTGGGAGGCCAAGGCAGGAGGATCACTTGAGGCCAGGAGTTCGAGACCAGCTTGGCCAACGTGGCAAAACCCCTTCTCTACTAAAAAATATAAAAATTAGCTGGGTGTGGCGGGGTGCTGAGGCACGAG